GTAGTCGAATGCTCACTGCTTGTCACATGACGGAAACTTAGTTACATTTGGAAGCGAGAACGACTAGGTTTTCAAGGGGGTAAATGGACCTGGCATCGATTTTAATGACAAATTCAATAAACTAACTCACCTATATATATTTCATTGATGGTGTTTTCGAACAGTGCTTGATAAATATCGGATAACTAATAATTCAGGCTGCATCTCTTTGAAAAGATCCTGAACAGGATTAATGATCTAAAATCACTCGGATCATGGTGCATCAAATGAACTGATGAATATTCCTCACTCTGGTCACGGATTCATCAGTTTCTTTGATGCACCATGATCCGAATAATCTTGGATCATTGATACTGATCCAGATCACCCCAAAGGAGCGCACCTTAAGTTACATTAGGACGCGAGGATGACTAGCGATGTCAGGGTTGTAAGTGGATTACAATATGAACAAATGAAAAATCATACCAGAGCCCCTTTAACTCAATAATAACTTGTTTCTTGTCTAGACCTCTAAGCTAAGTCTTACAACACATCTTTTTCACGAAAAGCCTCAGGATCTCCCTCAATCAGATGTAAGTTGACTTTGCTTGACATTCTGAAGCTATTCTTTGAGCTTGGGACAACGTACATCACTTGGCGTCGAATGACTCACTATTTCTTTCTTATTGCAGTTACAAACTTCGTTTAATCACTGCCTGACATTAAAACGGTATGTTTAGAATGTTCTGCACAGTCTATTGATTTTTATTATTGTTATGTTCGTTTGTACCATTTAAAACTTTGTTTAATTTTCGGTGATGGATGCTATTTTTCTATGATAATTGGTCGCCTTATGGATGTGATTTATTAATATTATTCCTCAGTAAAATCTATGAAATGTGCTAAAGAGTATAAAAGTACAAAATTTCGTACAAGATTACCTTTGAATTAAAGGAAACCTGAAAATAGTAGTTAACTAAGATAGAAAAAACACCAAAGAGATAATAATAAACCATAAAGGAACAAGGATGGCTGAGGATGGAGAAGATAAAACACGGATTACAAACGACGAACTCGAAAAGTTAGGCTAAACTTTTCAAGGTGGGCAAACCGTGACGTGGCTCCTTTAACTGATAATTAGCTGTCTTTTGTTGTAGATTTAAGGACGCTTGGGGACTGGCTCGGATCCTGGACACCCGAGACGCCTGGGTCGAACTTGGCAAAAAAGCTACTTATCATTTGGACATTGAACTTGGTGAGAGGAATGAAGGGAACAGAAATATAGATAGCGACGAAACATGGCTGTTTATTGTATTACACCTTGCAGCGTAACTTCAGTTAATAATGTTCTTAGTAAATTCTTCCAAAAGCTTACTGTAGGTCACTTTACAACATACATGTACTCTTACGTTAACGGTAGAGTAAAGTCTGCATACGAGCTAAGTGGCCCACCAGGCCGGAGCTTATCCCGGTTTCTGTAGCATGAAGGGACTAGGAGTATTTCTACTCCCCCCTGGATGGGANGAACATCCAAACTGAACATGCTAACAAGAAAGGAGTTGGATAGTCTTTTCTTCCTTGTTTATATTTCACATGAAAATAATGAGTATCCTGGTATAAGTGATCAAAAAGCACCTTAAAGGAGCTCAGTCACGGTTTTTTTTTTTAACTATTTCGGCCGCGCGCAAAATTACCTTTAAGTTGAAGGAAACCTGAAAATAGTACTTTACTAAGGTAAGAAAACACGCCAAAGAGATGAAAATAAACCGTAAAGAAACAAGAATGGCAAAGGATGGAAAATATTAACACGGATTACAAATGACGAACTTGGAAAGTTTTGGCTAAACGTTTCAGGATGCATAAACCGTGACGTAGCTCTTTTAAGAATACATTTTGTTTTTTGTAATTTCCTTGCTGTTGGGCAACGTACCAAGCCGCTATGAAACATAATAAGATTAAGACATTAATTAATTTTTCAATTAAATATATTTATACTCCTCTTGGGATGCCACTTAGTCCACTACTTGCAGCAAAGAAAAAAAGAGTTTATCATTTATTATTCTGTGTTTAGGGAACAGAGGACAAAAGTCTCTTGGCGGGTTACGTCGCCATGTTTCTTGAAGAGTACAACACTGCACAGGTAGGTACGCTGGTTAATTATTCAGACTTGAGGCCCTTAACGTTACATGGAAGGCTGGTTGACCAGTGTTGCAAATAATATTTACGGTGTAATATAAATTAATTACCCATAAATTTGAGGTTGTTACTAAGACACAGTATTTGATTTGTACTGACCTAGTGTCCGTTGATTTTGACTTTGCTTCTTTATTTCAGGATCTGTTTCTTGGATCAGCGTTCCCGTTAGCTGCACTCGAGGTACGTGTCAGTAGACATAAGTAGTGTGTAAAGGAGCTCAATCACAGCATTTTAAGTTATTTTGGCCACTCACAAAATTACCTTTAAATTGAAGGAAACCTGCAAATAGTAGTTTACTAAGATAGAAAAACACCAAAGAGATAATAATAAACCATAAAGGAACAAGGATGGTTAAGGATGGAGAAGATTAATACGGATTACAATGGACGAGCTTGAAAAATGTAGGCTATAAACTTTTCAAAATGCGCACTCCGTGACGTAGTTATCCGCTGAGTTGAAGTTGACGGTCTAACAATGTAAATTCTCACGGAGTCTTGTAAAAGTTGTTTACAGAACACGATACATGCAAGGCATAGACAAACATGCAGCATAAAACATTTTAAAATTAATTAAATGTTATTTTCCATTAGAATGAAATTCGCGTAGCTGATACTCCACTTTACATTTCTCAATGCACACAAACGCTTTCCTAGTGCTTGACGGCCATTTGTTACAAAACTCAAATAACGTTTTACTATACATTCCAGATGAGGCGAGATCTCCTTCACTGGGACCAAGCCCTTGAACTGGCCAAGAATTTAGCTCCCGAACAGATTCCTTACATTTCAAGAGAATACGCGCAGCAACTTGAGTTCACGTAAGAGAAAACAATTTCTAGTGTTTTAGCTTGGCTTAATTTACTTGTAAGCGTTCACTCCTTTATGACACGTGGTGGCCTAGTGGTTAGTGCGGTAGACTCTCATAGTACCTCTCCCCACCCAAGAGCATCCGGCGAATTGTTGGCACAACATGACAAACTGCTGGGGAGTAACCTGCGATGGACTAACATTCCATCCAGGGGGGAGTAGCAATACTCTTAGCCGCTTCATGCTGCTGAAGCAGGAGTCAAGTCCTTAGAGCTATGAGTTAGTTGGACTTACAAGACTTTACTTTTGCCCTTTTATATTTTTTGTCTCATTAAGTTGTTTCTCTTTTTTTTTGTTTGTAAATCTGGCAAAATAGAATGGTTGGTTAGTTGGTTGTTGTTGTTGTTGTTGTTGTTGTATCTAAGTGATTAAATTTCTACTAGAACCCTAGATAGCATTTTTGTTCACCACATACTACATCTTTTTTTTTTTCTTTTTTTTCTTTTTTGCTACAGCGGTGATTACAGTAATGCCCTCCTTCACTATGAGAAAGGAATAACCAAGCTACCAGAGGTAAGTAGAACGGCTGGCTTACATTTGTTATTTGGCGATTGATGCACGTGTTACTTGTCTTAGAGTCTTTTGACACCACCAAGACTAGTCGTTGGTGATATCGTAAGATCTCACATGAATGGCTCGAGAACAAACAACAGAAACAGTGCCTCCAGCCTTAAAACAATAACAGCTGCTACAATAATAAAACAATAGCAGCTTATGAGAGCTGCTACACTTCTAAGACTAGTGGGAGTGTGAAAGTAATTCCCCGAAACGCAGATATTAATACAGGTCAGTCAATGACGCTGTTACCTCAAAAAATGATGGTTGTTTATAATGATTTTCAGGTTTTATTTGTAACATAAATGAGCTGCTTTCCCTCATAGAGTGGGAGGCAAGGTGACCTCATGGTTAGTGCGCTCAACTCCGGACATTGTGTTGTGTTCTTGGGCAAGACACTTTTCTCTCACAGTGCCTCTCTCCACCCAGGTGTATAAATGGGTACCAGTGAAATTAGCGTCCCATCCAGGGGGGAATAGAAATACTCCTAGGCGCTTCCTGCTACAGACACTGAGATTAGCTCCGGCCTGATGAGCCACTTGGCTCGTATGCAGACTTTGCCCTTTTACTTTTTCTCTCATAGAAACGGGAACATGACGAATTGTGTGTGGGTGGAATGGCAAGAATGGCGATAAGAGTGGGAGACATCAGAAGGTTTGTGAAAATCAAACTGAAAGCTACAATTTTAAGTAATGAGCGATTGGCTTTGAGCCCAAAACAAGTATTTTTGTACAGTTCGTATCACGTCTTTAAGGATTACTTGTATATTGATGACGTAGATTGCTGACCTGCGTTCTCGTGTGAATCTGTGCTCAAGCTTTTTTCTGATTGGACGATAAAAATCGGAACGTTTTGGGTACTTGAACAAGGATCTGCCTAGAAACTGTTCTTGGATTATACAACATTTTCTGCTCTTGCCAACGTGTTTTTTTCTTTGAATTCCTACTGATTTTTAGCTCCATGGTTGTCGCCGTTGTGTCTTTCTCTGTGTTAATCTACTGATTGTGTTTAACGATACTTATTATTAAGAAAACTGTTTTAAAGTGCTGTCGAATTCATATGAGATCAAAGTACTCGTGTTGTTGTTTTCCTATTTTTACTAACTCTTGTATAAAACGAAGAGCTCACATTCAAATATCTCTTGAAGTATCAGAACTTATCTTTTGCAACAGACTATAACTGTGCAAAATTAAACGATGTATGTTTGTTTTGTGCGTGTTTTAGAGGTGTTAACTATGCTTCTAAAAGTCCCAGTAGACAGTTGAAGAAAGAGTGCGCCACTATCCTGGAGTCAATGAAGGTGAGTTTTAAAATACAATTTAGCGAGAAGCAATCTTTTCTCTGATCAAACGGTGGAAAGAAAACGCAGCACTATGAGACAAACAAACGTCATTATAATTCATCAAATATTTTCGCTCGCACTCGATTGCTGTAAACGCGTCACGTGACTGAATATTTCACAGCAAGAAGACTGGGGAATATCCGAGTGATATTCCCCAATTTTCAAAATATCCCGCGTCTTGCGAAAAAAATAAACGAAGGATAATAAACACAAAAGTCTCCACTTGACTTTACAAATATGCCCGATTATTTTTCTTTGGACATTATCTGCTCCTCGAAATGCACCGGTTTGCTCGAGCTTTGCTTTCGTAGAGCTGTTCGTTTTTCGGAACAGATAATGTCCGCGGACAATTGTCTGAGCATATTTTCGCGCCAAATGGAGGCTATTGTTTATATATACTGCATATAAGTAATCATACCCAGTTTGTCTGCTTTTTGATTGTTTCTTTCAATCGTTTCGTCATTGTGACCGATTTTTGATGCGTTTGATTCTCAGCAATATTCCGAATCAGCATTGCTATTTGAAAAAGGACAATACTGGGAAAAGGCGGCAGCTGTGTATATCAAAACTAAGAACTGGTGAGTAAAGCAACAACACTGCTGCACATTTACACATAAAGGGCGCATGCTTTCGTCATGGTCTAAATTCAATCCATTTCGAATAACTCCGTGATCCCTTTTTTCGCGAGAAAATTTTTAAAATTTTTAGAAATAGAGGAGTTGACGAAGCGAAAGAGAATAGAACTAAATTTGAAAAAAGTTTAAAGTTCTCATTAAAGCGCTCCGATGAACAGAAAGCATTTCTGTGATAAGTAAAGGGAANAGAGCTCACATTCAAATATCTCTTGAAGTATCAGAACTTATCTTTTGCAACAGACTATAACTGTGCAAAAGTTAAATGATATATGTTTGTTTTGTGTGTGTTTTTAGAGGTGTTAACTACGCTTCTAAAAGTCCCAGTAGACAGCTAAAGAAAGAGTGTGCTACTATCCTGGAGTCAATGAAGGTGAGTTTTAAAATACATTGTAACGAGTAGCAATCTTTTCTCTGATCAAACGGTGGAAAGAAAACGTAGCACTATGAGACAAACAAACGTCATTTTAATTCATCAAATATTTTCGCTCGCACTCGATTGCTCTAAACGCGTCACGTGACTGAATATTTCACAGCAAGAAGACTGGGGAATATCCGAGTGATATTCCCAAATTTTCAAAATATCCCGCGTCTTGCGAAAAAATAAACGAAGGATAATAAAAACAAAAGTCTCCATTTGACTTTACAAATATGCCCGATTATTTTTCTTTGGACATTATCTGCTCCTCGAAATGCTCAGGTTTGCACGAGCTTCGCTTTGGTAGAACTGTTCGCTTTTCGGAACAGATAATGTTCGCGGACAAATGTCTGAGGAAATGGAGGATATTGTTTATATATACTGCATATAAGAGATGATACCCAGTTTGTCTGCTTTTTGATTGTTTCTTTCAATCGTTTCGTCATTGTGACCGATTTTTGATGCGTTTGATTCTCAGCAATATTCCGAATCAGCATTGCTATTTGAAAAAGGACAATACTGGGAAAAGGCGGCAGCTGTGTATATCAAAACTAAGAACTGGTGAGTAAAGCAACAACACTGCTGCACATTTACACATAAAGGGCGCATGCTTTCGTCATGGTCTAAATTCAATCCATTTCGAATAACTCCGTGATCCCTTTTTTCGCGAGAAAATTTTTAAAATTTTTAGAAATAGAGGAGTTGACGAAGCGAAAGAGAATAGAACTAAATTTGAAAAAAGTTTAAAGTTCTCATTAAAGCGCTCCGATGAACAGAAAGCATTTCTGTGATAAGTAAAGGGAACAAATAATGGGGGGAGCCTCCAGCAATCGAAATTATTCACAAGAAACTGAGACACGCGGAATACAGGTTATAAGCCAGAGAATATACGTCAAAATTGTTGGTCGCCGTTTCCACCAGTGATTATTATAATAAGGAAAGTACGCGCCTCGTTGACTATTTATCATCACCTCATATCAAACGCGCGCTCTGGGAATAGCTGTCAATGGTCATTCGCGCCTGTAGGCAATCACGTAGTTGTATTCATCAAAACAAATATCCGGTCCAAGATGATGAATGGAACTACCATGATTCCCTTCAGGGAGATCTCATAGAAGGAATTGGGAGTTCGCATAGTGTATAAAGATTTATTCTACTTGGCGTAACACCTCGTTCTTTCCAGGGCGAAGGTCGGTGAATTGCTGGCTAATGTAAGTTCTCCCAAGCTTCATGCACAGTACGCTAAGGCCAAAGAGGCTGATGGGAAATACAAAGAGGCCGCTACAGCTTACGAAGCAGCCAAGGATTACGACAGCGTCATCAGGTAAGGGCTTCATTTGGTTTATTGTGCCAGGAATAATTGCTTAATAATGTCCGATATACCACTCAAAATGGCGTGCTGAGCTCCTTTAAGCATAATAACTTTCTGATTAGAGGTACAAAACAAGGCCTGCAGTCGTTAGATAGAGTAATGTTTTATTAATCTAAATAAATAGTTTTTGTCGCCGTTTGATATCTTCATTGTTGCTTGTTTCTTAACTGATTGCTGTTGGCTTGTTCGTTAAATCATATCAGAATCTATCTTGATCACTTACAAAACCCCGAAGAAGCTGTGAGGATTGTTAAGGAGACACAGTCTGTTGACGGAGCCAAGATGGTGGCCAGGTTTGTAGTGTTTCATATTTCTGTTACTTTGTTCGTTTGAAGAGTTAAACGGCATACATGGTAGCAGTTGTAAGAGCCTCAACGTCCCCGTGTCGTTGGTTCACTTTATTACGGATCAAGCCATCCGAGTTAGACCCTGGGCATCCCACGGGCAAGAGGCTTTCTCTCACAGTACCTATCTCCACCCAGTTGTATAAAAGGCTTGGGACGAGTAGTGGACATACATGTACCGCAGTCTCAGTCGCTTCATGCCCTAGACCCGGGAGACAAGCGTCGGTGCGATGGGTCGCTAGGCTTGAAACAAGACTTCACCTTTACCTCCAGTTTTTCTCACTGGATGGCATTTCAGTCCATCCACATGATTTTATTTGTCAGTTTGCTTCTGAACTCCGGCAGTATTCATTTATACATGCACTGGAATGGACGAAGCCGAGGCACAAAGAGNGAATCAGAAGCAGTATTTTTTGGCGGGAAAATTTTTCCTGAAGTCCGCACAATATGCTAAGGTGAGAGGAACATAAATTAGTGCAGGTAATCATATGAATGCGGGTACAGTGAAAGATATATAATACGGGTGATTTTTCAAAATTCTCTCAAAATTGCATGAGCCTTTTAGCGATTGCAGTCATAATGCAAACGGTGTAAGTTTAGAACGATTGCAAAGTGTATATAGCCGTAACATTGACAAGAACAAGTGCTGTTTGTAGCAATTTATCGTCTCAGAATCAGAAAACAGTGAAACCTCTTTCGAGTTCGTCGAACGTCATGACATCAGTATTATTCTGTAGGGAGCATGCATCCTTGGAAATAAATGGTGGTTTATGGTACAGCTCGGTAGAACGCCACGAGATATTTACACTGATTGCTCGGTGACAAAAGCTACTTGGGAAGATCCTGCGTTGTCTCGGGAGGAGTTGAACCTTTCAGTTCCTGTAAACCGGTCACACGTTGTACTCTCTGAGCAACAGGAGAATCATGGGAGCTTGGCCATGTAACTGGGTCGGAATGTGAAGAAAAAAAGAAAACCCGCATAGTGCTTGAATCTGTCCGATATGTTATTAAAGAAATTATTTTGCATGGTAATTAAGTTTAAGAGAACTTCTTTCTCAGGCCCTGAAACACTTCTTGAAATGCCCTGTGGGAGAAGACGGGGAATCTATTGAGTTGGCCATTGAGACGGTAAGAAACTGAACTTTAACTCTAAAACTTACACCGAGCTCGTTTTTGGAGTTATAAGCTCTTTAAGCTAAAAGTTAAGTAGTTTTTGAGAGATTGTTCTGTTGCTCTGATAACGTTTTATGCCATAAAGATTGCCATTTTAGGTTCACCAATGGCTGGGCGTTCGTATGACACCAAAATTGTATTATCATGTAATAAATACTGGTGCATTGAACCGTTCAAGTATAGCTGTTAGAAAAGTGCTCGAAACTGTTGTCAGCCACCTTAATGCCAAGAACTTTAAAGCTGAAATGGGGCAAACACCTTTTCACGTTGCTTTTGTATTTGGTGTCAACGAAGATGCCCTTTGGGCCTGGTGTTTGTGATACGCATGCTCCATATAAAGAAGTAAAAGTGAGAAGCTTGCCAACTCCTGGGATCAAAAGTAGATCTACAATTAGACTCAAACCTGTGTGTGTGTACTGTTCATATTTCAGGTTGGTCAGGCTGCTGACGAGGTGCTGACACATCAGTTGATTGACTTTCTCATGGGAGAGGCTGACGGGATACCAAAGGTAAAACAGAGCCATACTCCACAGTGAACTGCGGCTTTTATAACCAGCCACGATCCTGGTGACAATATATTGAGACAAAAAAAATTTCATCTCACTTGAGATTAAAGCAACCTTGTTCCTCGAGTCTTCGTTCCCTATTCCGCAAGCTTGGCAAAACGAGCAACTCTCGAGTGTCCCGTTACAGGATCTAATAAACAGCTTCTTTTAGAAACCATCTTTGAATTTTGGCGATTTAATCATTTTAATGTAGTGAGATTTCGGGAAACGATTAAAGAAGTTTTTTATTCCAGGAAGCGAAATACCTGTTCCGTCTTTACATGGCTTTGAAACAATACCGTGAGGCCGCGCGCACCGCCATCATCATTGCAAGAGAAGATCAGAATGCTGGGAACTACAGAAACGCTCATGATGTTTTGTTCAGCATGTACAGAGGTTGGTTGTTAAGCAGTTTTTACTATTACTAGTTCTTATTGCTCAAAGGTAACCAACTCGAAAAACCGCAGTTCAAGGAGTTCAGGTTTTTTTGCAGTGGAAAATTCAGTGGAACCCCGTTAATCCGGCCACCAACGGATCGCCAAAACCGGTTTGGTTGTATGAGAGGAAATGATTGACTGAGCTTTTGTTCGGGCCAGAATAAAGTGGCCGTAATAACGAAGTGAACGTAGTAACAGGGTGTCTATAAGGCGTGTTGCCACCGTAGCAATGAGGTGAAAGCTTGTAATTGCTGTGTGAAATAATCCTGAGAAGATTGTTAATTTAAGTGTATAAGCAGCATCGTGCTATTAAGGTCCCCGCAATCTGCGGAAACTTTGTTTTCCTATATTTTTTTACTGTTTCCGTATACACCCAACATTTGTCATTGTGGCGAATTTGTTCTCGAGAGGCAAAACTATTTCTTTTTTTTCACAAACATTTTGCTTAACAGTTGCTGCGTTTGGGGAGAAAAGAGGGGAAATTTTCGCTGCTGCAAGAATGCTTTTTCCTTATTTTCAGCGGGCTTAACATCTGCTAAATGGTGTAAATGAATTAAAGGTGATTATCAGGCCTGAAAAAAGTTTGGTGCGGGTTCCCTTGTTCTTGGACTTAAGCTCTTTGAGCTCCTTTATTTCTAATTCCAGATCTAACCATTGTTTTTTAGAGCTGACTGATCACAAGATCAAGATTCCCACGGAAATGATGCAGAATCTGATGATCCTTCATAGTTACATTCTGGTTAAGGTTAGCGTGACTTGTCCACGAAAATTTAACATGTCTTTAGTGATTTAGCTTTTCCGTTCTTATAACAATTTACGTGTAGTTTTTCATGCTCTTGTATAATAGGGAATATTGGTGATCTAAAATTATCTTGTCTGTCCTGTCTCAGCTGCACGTGAAGAGAGGTGACCACATGAAGGGTGCCCGGATGTTGATCAGGGTCGCAAACAATATCAGCAAATTTCCAGCACGTAAGTATTGAACGGCAGCCGTTTGGGACCGAAAAGTCTCTTTTTCGGCGAACTTAAAAGTCTCCGGCGCCTTACTCAATATCTGTGCCCTGCAGTCGGCGGGAATATTGCTAGTCACCCTGGATTGGAGTCCTGTTAGTCTTGGACAACCATAAGCCTTTTATTTAGGTTCCCCCCACAGTTCGATGGTAGCATGAGCATGAACAGACTCAGTGGGACACAGCTCGGGAAAAAAAAATCGAGGGGCCGAGTGTTCCGTGTACGCCAGTTTTACCTGTGTTTTTCCTTCGTCTTATACCCTACTAGGAAACATGTTGACAGGCGTAGTTCCACGGTCCTCATTTGTATTCTTGGGGTGATAGATGAGAATGACGTGCTTTGCTCAAGACACAATGGTCTCGCTTGCCTTGTTTCCAGGCCTCTTAAGTTCACAACAGTCATTCCGTTTTGGGTCGCGCGGAATAACTGACGTCACGAAAACGTATTTACATATGAAGATTAATTAGGCAATTAAATTCAGTAAAGAGGCTGCTTGTCTCTGTCAAGTAATAATGCCCTCCTCCTTTTAAGTTGTGGAAAGACATAAAGGTAGAGTCTGAGGGTACATTAACTTGTAGCTTAACTTTTTACAGATCTTACATCTGTTTTCCACAGACGTTGTTCCCATTCTAACGTCGACCGTTATCGAGTGTCATCGGTCAGGACTGAAGAACTCTTCATTCAGTTACGCCGCAATGCTAATGAGGCCTGAATACCGACAAAAGATCGATCTCAAGTACAAAAAGAAAATTGAACAAATTGTCAGGTAAAGTATTGTATTTCACGTTAGTTTTGGTGTAAAAACTTCTTCATACTCGAGAGTCTTTCTTTTTGTTGGTTTGAGCTGTTTGTTAATTTAAAAAAACACCCCGCAAACCCAAAATACAAACACATACAAAGGACACCTGCCCTTTTCTCTGTAACAAATTGAGAAGAGAGGAGTGTATAAAAGGTGGGGGTGTGGGGATGGGTGGTTATGAAGCTTTACTATGTAGTCACCATTCTGAGCATTTTTTCCTAGGAACCCAACATGTTTTATTGTAAATATCACTGTCATCTGCTTTGACCGCAGGAAACCTGATAAAACAGAAGAAGAAGAGGCTCAAGACCCGTGTCCTTACTGCAGTAATGAAGTACCCCAGACTAAACTGGACTGTCCAGAGTGTAAAAATACCATACCATATTGTATTATTACGGTGAGTGATACCGTACCTCCGCCTTATGGGACTACTTGTTATTACTTGACCATATTCTATGTCTTAGGCTCTTCAGGAAATAATTTGAAAAGTTCGAATGAATTTCGAGCCACTCTTCGGAAGTTAACGTAATCTCTTCGGCAATCGTCGGAAACTTCGGAAATTGTTCGGAACTAAACTTCGGGCATTATCTGGAATATATTTTTTCAAAAGGTTATGGATTAATCTTATTTCAAATCGCTCAATGGCAGTTGTCTTTCTTCTTTTTCTTTATCCCCCTCATTATATTTCACACCAAAGGTCTTTCCTCATTGATACCTACCCTGGAGAAAGCGCTTATTGCGCAGAGTATTTTTTAACCGCACGATTGTTTATATATTATTTTCATTCCTAGGGACGTCACATGGTCAAGAACAACTGGACAATGTGTCCGAACTGTTGTTTTCCAGCGCTACACTCGGAACTTATGAGGTATATTTAGTTTTATTGTTAGATTATAGGTGACACGTTTGTACAAAGCGCTTTTCAGTGGAACGTTGATCTTACATTTGCAACCTTTAGTGGCTTTAGCAGCCCTCAATGGCCTCCGTATTATTGCGAAATTAACACTTCCAAAGCAATTTGCATTATATTTTGTTCCAGTACGGTTTCATTAGATTTTAAGTCCTTTTCAAACACTTTTTTTTTCTTTTTAGACTGTTGGAGACTGATGAAACAGTTTGCCCAATGTGTTCCCAAACTATGGCAGCCACAGACGTGAAACTGATAAAGGACCCCTCACAGTACTTGAAGAAAGCGGATAAAGATTAGTGTCAGAAAGCAATTGTGCTTTATCACAGCCTCTTCGTTTGAGGCTTCTTTAATATGTAAATAGCCACAGAAGGCCAAGCTCGTTTGTATCTACGCATGATGTATCTCCTCCCCAGTTTTACCGCTCACAAGAGAACTGAGAACGAGATTTACACGTAATGGTATATGTTTGTGTTATTTCAGTTTATGTAGTAATGCAAATGGTGAGCTTTACTTGTTAATAAAATCACACGTTCAGTAATAGCTTTGCGTTTTGAGATCAATTTTCTCGTCTTTGTTTTCCAACAAGTTATTTGCTCGTTGAATCGGTTTATCTTACATGCAGAACGGCTTCTATGGGGGCACGGTGGGAATAGCAGACGTGTGACAGTTATTTATAGCATGAGATCAAATCTTTCGCGTCACGCTACTTGGATTAACCTTTGAAGCGAAACGCGAATCATCCGGAACCGATTCCCGCTGACTAGTTTTCGTTTTCTCAAAGTGGAAATGTAACCTGTCTGACAATCTTTTTTTCATGGGGAACCCTATTGATGAAGGGTTGTAAATCCTGAAGTCCCCGGCCCCAAAAATATGAAACCTTAACATAAGAAATATCTAGGCATCACAATGAGCCGACTAAAAACTATCATATAATGCGCACTTTCCGAGAATAAACAAACGAGTATAGATCACAAAAATTTAAAATTGACAACAAGGGTCAAATCGGGCCATATTGAGGCAGATCGAGTTGCACTCCTACAATCACCAGAAGTGAAAATGTACTCCCGATCTTGTCTGCTTGATCTATAGTAGCTACGGTTGCATTACACTTGCTTGGTTTGGCAATGGATTTCTTCGCACTCTTAACAAGTGACACGTGGCAGCCCAAAGGTAAAGGGCCTTTGATTCATGGCTCGAGTGACATGAAGCACAACGCAGTGAGTTTCTCACTTCTTTTTGTTTTTGTTTCGTTTCCTCAGAAGCACCGGAAATGGAATGGCGTTATCTTCAGGGTTGAACTATTTACGCAGTGGTGAAAGCGTCTTAGAGTCATCTTACATTTTTTACCCATTTGCCTGCATGTACCCGAAAAGTTATTCTGTACCCATACAGACTCTTTATTTTTCTTTCGTCGTGAGGATTGTGCTACCCGAGTTTCTTTGTCTCACCTCGATTGGCGGACCCTCGTCTTTGGAGATGTTCTATCCGAGGGAAAATGTGTCCCACACGGGAAGGTTTCTGCTGGATAAGGGTAACGCGGGCTCTCAGACCAGTATACAGTCCCTTTTGCTACTTCCGGCTTTGGAAACTATTCCTCTTGTCTCTATTGAAATGGCCAATCTACATAGTAAGCTGTTCTTACTGCTGTTTGCAATCGGAGCAGCGTCCCTAGCGGTACTTGTACGACAACGCATTTCATCCACGGCAAGTAACGCAACTGAACGATATCGTTTTGGCTCCTTTGCACCGCTCAGAAACGAAAGTCGGGCCAAATGGTTTGTAGACGGACAAGACTACATGGCAGCTGTTGCTGATTCGATTGAAGCCGCGGAAAAGGAGATCTTCATCACAGACTGGCAACTCAATCCTCATATCTTCATGAAAAGGCCTGACTCGGGAATCGACAGTTTGCATTGGCGTCTGGACAAGATGTTGCTGAGAAAAGCTGAGCAAGGTGTTCGCACGTACATTTTACTCTACTGGGAATCGAAGACAGTCGCAGGTATGGACCTTGGTAGTGAATATGCACAAACTGTTCTGAGTCATGAAAACATAGAGGTTCTTCGTCATCCAGATATGGATACCCTCTTGAATCATCTTTTTACCTTGCTCCGGTGGAGTCACCATGAGAAAGTAGTGGTTGTTGATCGGAGTGTAGCATTCGTTGGGGGAGTTGATCTTTGCTTTGGCCGATGGGATACTCACAGTCACGAGTTAACTGATCACTTTCCACCTCATCCCTGTGTGTTGGAGAGTGATGAGTGTGCCGGAATTCCTAAGGAATCCACAGTGCAACATTCTCGATGGATTGGCAAGGACTATGGTAACACCTTTCTGTACGGAGCAAGAACTAACCTGGATGAGCCCATGAAGGATTATGTTGATAGAAGTAAAGATCCTCGAATGCCATGGCATGATGTGGCTTGCTCAGTTTCTGGACTTCCGGCTCTTGATGTAGCTAAACACTTTATTCAGAGATACAACAGTATCAAGCCATGGTACAGCTTCCATCGACTCACCCTTGAAGATTTTGTACCAAACACTATACTTCATCAGATTTCAGATCCAAGTGGTGGCAATCTTACGATTCAAGTTCTCCGTTCAGTGGACAAATGGTCAGCTGGTCAGCCACATGAAGCCTCCATCTACAATGCTTATCTACACGCGATTCAGAATGCAGAACATTTTATTTACATCGAAAATCAATTTTTCATCTCATCTCAAAAAGGGACTTTTAGAGGTGTGCAAAATGAGATACTGTCCACACTGGCTGATAGAATTTATCGTGCTTATAAAAAACGAGAGGACTTCCATGCAATGGTAATCATACCTCTTAAACCGGAGTTTACAGAGGAGTGGGATCCTAACACTGGCAGTGATTTAGGAGCCGTAAGTTACTGGACCTATGCTACTCTCTATCACGGGGAAGACAGTTTGATGAACAGGTTATTGGTAGAAAAGCAAATTCCAGGTCATGCAGTAGCTCGCTACTTCAGTGTGCATGGTTTACGGACACATGGGTCTCTAAATGGGAACCTTGTGACGGAGGTTGTCTATGTGCACAGTAAGTTGATGATTGTTGACGACCGAGTGGCTATCATAGGGTCAGCAAACATCAATGACCGCAGCATGCTTGGAGACAGGGATTCAGAAGTAGCAGTAATCATCCAAGACAATGATATGATGGAAGGAAAGATGAATGGACAACCCTACCAGGTTGGAAAATTCTCTCACAGTTTACGTTGTCACTTACTAAAAGAACACCTTGGTCTTTTATCAGAAATGAATGTAACCCCGCGAAATATCAAGGTAGAAGATCCACTGACAAGTGCTTTCCGCTTTGCCGTTGTAGAATTAGCTGCCCAAAACACTCACATTTTTGAGAAAGTATTCCATGGAAGAATTCTCCCAACAAATAAAGTGTTGAACTTCGAAGACCTTGAAAACTGGAAATCAATTCCTGGTCTCGCTGACATTAAGGTGGAGGAAGCCAGGAAGGAGTTGGATAACATTCAAGGAAGAGCTGTCACTTTCCCAATTTTCTTTTTGAAAGATGTTCTAAAACCAACCTTTCTGGATTACCTGAGTATTTACAGTACCGGCTGAAATCATGTGACCATACCGCGCGGTTTAATGACCTGCGGTGTATAAACACACTTCTAACTTGTGCTTTCAATTTACTACTTTTCTTTTGTGCGCGACCGACAACATCGATGGGTCTACCGTTGACTAAATGTTCCCTTTACAATTAAGTTCGTCCCAAAAAGATTTAAGTTTTCGATTTACACAGTAATAGTCGTTTGATATTTAAGATTCTGTAAACGTGAAAAAATGATTGCGATTGGAGAAATTTGGAGCTTTATCCGGTTGATCTTCTCAGAATAAATTGGTTCTAATAACGGAGGCTTTCGACAAACAATTAAGAATAAAAATCAGCGATAATAATTTCGAATGACGTTTCGATGACTCGTTCATCATTTTCAAATTCTACACTCAATCGGACTCAATTAAAGCAGAACTATTTAGTACTTTAAAATTACCACTCTCTACATTCCACATGGTAGAGGTTTTATTCACATGCGACGAGACTTCACTCGCATTCTCAATATATAAAGAACTTATAGGAATCTCACTTTAAGAATTTGAAGGTGATGGACGAGTCATCAAAACTTCATTCGAAACTATTATCGCTGATTTTTATTCTTAATGAATTGGTTGCGTCAGTATTCCGATCATAACTTGTAATCTTAGTGAGGGTTTTGTCTCCGT